AACGTGTGATATCCTGATCCCGTAGCGTTTACAACTGAAAAATGCGACGATTAAAGCAACGTGAAGCGCAACAAGTGCCCAGGCCCCCCCGGGACAAATGATATCCTGACCAAGCAGACTTGACAAATAATGCGCGACGATTGACGCAACAATTGGCGCGGCGATCGGCGTAGTAAGTGTCCTGGTCCAAAGCAACGCGTGATATCCCGATCTCGTAGCTTTTACAACTGATAAATGCGACGATTAAAGCAACGTTAAGCGCCACAAGTGCCCAGGCAACCACGGCACGAATGATATCCTGATCCAGCAGAGTTGACAATTAATGGCGCAACGAATGATTGGCGTAACGAATAGCTCAACGATTGGCGTAACGATCAGTGTAGTAAGTGCCCAGGTCCAAATCAACGGCTGATATCCTGATCTCGTAGCGTTGGCAACTGTAAGCGTTACGATTAATGCGCCCAACACAACCCTCCCGAGCTGAGGCAACCAGACGTGCGTACTGCAATCGTTCTTTCTAATAGTGCCACTAACAAGCGAACTAGTGCTATCGAAAAATAAACCCGCGAAATTTAATATAACAATCTATGACTGCGAGAGGGGTGAAGGAGTTTCTAGACCCCAACCAATAACAACATACAACGCTCACTCTCCCAGTACCAACCCGTACTAATGTACTCGCCACGGTGAGAATGACAAACTAACAGTTGCCTGACCAGAACTCAGGGAGGCCTACATATTGAGAACTTAATGCTTCCAGCGAGGAAGAGGAGCCGGAAGTGGTGAACGATCCCGTTTCCTGGACGTGGAGGAGGCGGATTGAGGACACTCGACTTCCTTATGTGCACCAGAACACCTAGAACACTTATGTGCGTAGCAGCAGGTGGAATACGGCGACGAGCAATGACCACGATTCCAGGATCTACATATAACAGACTGCCTTGATGCGGTACCCGCTGTATGGTAGTTATACAACTGGACGTTGATCTGCGACCAGTCGGTAATGTTCATCGCCGCCGCATGTTCCCTGAATGCCTGGTCGTAGGCCAACCATGATTTTCCTGTAAACTGTCTGTAGGTACGAACAATCAGAAGTTTGTAACTCAGCAAATCCCGCCAGCGCTGGGGGTAAAATGAAGTCACGACCATGGAGTAGACTGAAAAGGCCTCGACCCAGCTAACCACATCTTCGAGGCGGTGTTTGTGTCTCTTCGGCTGACTAGTGATAACCAGTTGGCCATCTAGCAAGAGCTGAGGTTCGGAATCAACACTCACCGGCAACAGATTCGCAGGCAGTAAATCATTCAAGTCAATAAACTTGCCAGCCAGGATCTGCGACACCAACTTTGAGGGGACTGGCGAATACCCTGGCCCAATAACAAACGGCTGATGAAGCTGATTAGCTAGGACTGGAGATAGAAGAGGACCAGTTGGGGCCAACAATGGGCCGGTAGTACGACCAGGGAGTGAATTCAAGCTGGAGTTCCCCGTAGCAAAAACCGGCAACGAGTTCATAGAGCTAGGCAGGGAGAATGTGTTGACAAACGATGGGACTACAGAGGTCGACATACCTGTTATCGCCGGCACCTGAGAACAAATACCAGGCGCTGAGGGGACCACAGAAGGGCCAGCACAAATAGGATTTGAACCCAGCATGTTGGCTGTCCTTGCAGCCAGGGACTGCTCCACAGCTTCTTTTATGGCTGCCAAAATGTCAGGAGATATCACCAATTGTGAACTAACCACGGCTGTTGACACTTCTCGAGAGTCGCTCGAGGCCGTAGAAGACTCCATAGTAATGTTTGGAGCCCAAAAAATTTCTAACAAATTTACCCACCATTTGAAGGCGCATCCAAACTCGATTTAAAACGTGGCTTGTACGTATGCTTTGATTCTCTTAACCCTGAAGGTTTAATGTGAAACTCAAAGTGGCAATCCTTTCGTAGTTTCTTTGGCTGAAGTTTATCTAGTAAAGCCGCCAGTAAATCATCCTCACCAAAACTTTTCTTTTTCTTCGTCGCCATTTTGTTGGATGAATTGGGTCTAGTCTCTCTCTGCTCATGTCCTGTTTATCAAATCAACGACTATATGCACGACTATGCTCGATTTGAGGTGATTTGACACTCAATGATTGTCTTATGAGTCGTGGTTTAGAGATCCGAGTTCCGCGTTGGGTTTGTCGTTGGACCCAACGACCCAACAGCCACAGGAGGCCCAGCCTAGATTATATTCTATAGAGAAAAAGTAATCCACCGTAAACGGACTTACGTTATCTTAATTGCTACGTTCAGAATGAAGGAATGTGTTGGTGTTTGTAACCACTTGGTAAATGGATCGTTTGTCCGGATCAAAATGACGATTGAGTTTGCTATAAGCTTATTAAAAGTTTAAATGAATATTATCCTGCTTAACTTTCGGTTAGTCCGATCCTTAACAATAAACAGCAATAATCTTTACCGGCAGCGGCTACCTAGAATTAACCTTGGCAGAGCCACATAGTTATTTCTGTTTCCCCTTCATGTCAAGAGTCCATAATCGTACGATGTCAGAGTTCTGATGATGTTTTGAGATTATTGTTTGAGCTCGGTAAAGCGGCTTGGAACCCGAAGCATAAACCCGAAGTTATTGAGCTTCAGCTATCGAATTATTCGACTAGAGAACATTAGAAAATGCAGCGTGCACTCCAACTGATAAACAACCCTAAGACGGAAAGAATACAGATGGAATACTTCAATAACCATCGGCCTATTTTTGCAAGACTAAGGTCTTAGTTTGTTAGTTCATATTTTGGCTTCGGTGGTGGCCGCATTGTTTACGATCGATAATACCACAGGTAGCCCAAGCATGCACGTGAACATCAGTGTTTATGAACAGCGAGAATGAGAAGGTCCTTGAAGGATATAAACATTAAGAAGGTTTGGAAGATTGGAGCAGTTTTATGCATGAAATGCCAATACTGACGCGAAAGGACTTCAGCTGACTTCAGAGTTATTATGCATGAAATGCCAATACTGACGAGAAAGGACTTCAGCTGACTTCAGAGTTATAATAATTTCAGAGATAAGGATTTCAGAGATGATAATTTCAGAGATAATAATTTTGATTAGAGTTAAAAATTTCAGAGATGATAATTTCAAAGATAATAATTTTAATTAGAGTTAAAAATTTCAGAGATAATAATTTCAGAGATAGTAATTTCAGAGATAATAATTTCAAGACTTGCCACACAACCATACATTTCTTTGTAAATCCTACCGCTTTCAAAAAAATAAAAAAATAAAAAACCTGGATTTATTGAATCGATTCTGTGCGTAAAACATGGTTCTCGCTTAGCTGGTGAGTTACGCGCGACGTTGTCAGGGCTGCCGTCTGTGATGAAGGAAGCTGACAGAAAACCCTTCCTAAATACCATTTTCCAGAGATTAGGCCTGAGTTATTCTACGGATGAACAGATTAGGATTGACAGAGCATTCAGTACCACCAAGAATGATAGCAATACGCAACTATTAGCTGAAAAAATATTGGTATTTTCTCCTCCGGTCGATTCGTGCCTGAATTGCAACAAGAAGCTGAATTGCCACAAGAAGCCAAGCGAGAGAGGTCATTGCATACCAACTCGATGGGATTACCAAGGCCTGGAATATTTGCTGGCGGTGTTAAACATGTGATTTAAATTACATTTTGGGAATAGGAAGAAAGGCTACCAGTTTTATCAACGACAAAGAGAGTATGTTCAGGCTACGGGTGCCAGTTTTGTGGAGCGCAAGCTTGTACTGTATCAAGTTTTTCTTTCGTAAGTACATTCTTTATCCTATAGTGTGTTAAAAAAGAGCTAGGGGTCACGGACACGCCCTTCTGTTCGTGCGGGCTTTAAGGCTGCATTATCATATGGCGCGGGAGGCTGGTGAAATTCAGGAGGGATCGGGACTGAATTTTTTTGTGAGTTAAGGGGGGATTTCAATTTTATGGAGATTGACTTTCTTAATAGAAGGGGAGGATGAAAAAGGAGCATGGTGTTTTTTCTTACGAGGGGGGATCTCAAACTTTTCCTAGTATAAAAAAATTAACCCCTTACCCCCCCCCCCCCCCCCCATACATAAAGAATGCTAAGAACACCAAACAAGCAAGTAAACAAACAAATAAATTTAAAAACCTAACAAAAAAACAAAGTTATGGATTTGATATACCACAGTCATTTCCTTTTTACTGAAACAGGATCTGCTTTTATTGTATTTGAATAGGCAGATGAGCTGCATAATGTGACAAAGTGGGCTGATGTATAATTTAAAAAAAGAATTCTAGCTTCTTTTATATGAGTGCGCAAAGTGTCGTATTAGCCAATAAACGAAAAGGAGAGCATACCTCTCTCACCTACCTCACCCCACCCCACCCCACCCCMCTCCCCTTCAGTACCGTAACACCGTAACCAGCACCAGTTTTAAAGAAAAGAATGCCGGACGAATTTGTTTGAAAACTGGAATCACATAATTCATTGTCTCATGTATACCTACAGGCTGTACTTGAAAAAACAGTTTTTTTCTATAGGAATCACGCCTGGGTGTCGTTCGTTGGATTTTCCGAAAGCTACAACGAGGCTGTAAATGCAAGCAGTAAGTAAAATTATTTTTGTAGCTCATATATGCAAGCATTGGTGATATATTTAATATAGTTTTCTTGTCTTCAGGTAGTCGTTTGGATCGAAGAATCGTCGCCGACGCATTTTATTGGCACGAAATTGAACAGGAATTTCGAACAAGAAAAATGGTTTGGTTGTTCAAAGGCTCCTTGGAAGAGATGAAAGACTGCTTCATAGAGGAAATTGAAGAACTTAGAAGGAAAGAAGTTTATAAACACACAGAGGATGATTGCTCCCCTCTTTGTAAGAAAAAAGGTGCCATTAAAGTAATATTTCTTTAGCGATAGTCAGTTAAAACGTAGGCCTAAGGAGCATTTAACGCCATAATTCTGTATATACTGAACTCAAAATCCTCATATATCGTATATGTTTTGAAATGTTTAGGATGCGCCAACTTTGTAGCCATGGATGGAATATGGAAACTACGTCACCCCCATTGTATGTATCCAGTTTGTATGAACAAACGTTCTTATGGGCCTCGCGATTTAAGAAGATCATGTGCGCCATGCCCAAGAGGAGGTAATTATTTTTTTTACCATAGGATGGTTGTCAGAAGAAACCATTACACTAGTAGTTGCTACAAAGCCAATAGGGAACCCACACTTCCAAAAGTCCACGGCTCTAATGATTAGGCATTTCGTTTTTTTTGTTTTTGTTTTTGATAGTTTATTCATTGTATTATATGAAGGGTGTTATTAAACAAGTCAGGACAGCGGCGGATCTTCATTAAGCCCCTCAAAAAGATGCATAAATTCCACGAGGAGCCATGTCCCCTCATACACCACGCCCTTTCGCATCATACATCCGCCGCCGATTCTTGATTTTAATTTGCTTTGTATAGAACTCTATAATATATGTAAAATTATAGCTGTAGTTTTGTGGTGTACAACATATATATTTATTATTAGGTTTATTACGTCCTACTAGCCAACCCTGCGTGGTTGTAGCGATTTAAAACTAGTTAAATATATATCAACGGTTTTGTAATATATTCAAATCGAACTGAAATAGGAAATGCAAAGCAAACATGCATGCTGTCGGCATATGGTTGATTACGAGTCTTACAATAAACTGGACAATACAGTACAAAGCTGCTAAGCAGTGTTTTATTATTTCATGAATATTTAACTGATTGTACTTGCCCAGTTTAAAAAGTTGTGATGAGACGGCGGGTAACAGTCAAAGAAAAACAAAAGAAAACAGTGGAATTGGCTATCATATACTAGTCTATCTATTATGTCATTGCTGACACTTTTTTACGGGTCAAGTAAAATCCCCCTAAAGCGAGGCGCTGATACTCAATAATTCTTTTTGAGCCCTAGTAAACCCATGCTCCTCTTCTGTACCTTCACAAATGCGTATAGCGTGTCTTTCAAGTTCTCTTTTGACCATTTCTAAAATTGATGTCTGACATACACGCAAAAATGCTAGACTATGTTTCCCGTTCAATTCTAAAATTCTCAAATTCTCATAGCCTGAATGACATCCTCGTCGTCTACCGAGGTGCACCTGAGAATAAGTCTTTCTAATCTGCTACCCTTCCTACCACCGAAAATGGCAAAAAGCAGTGGTTGGGACAAAGTGTTACCAGTGACATCCAAGTAATTCAGAAAAGGGCAGTTTTCGATGACTGCAGAAATGCTCTCTTCGTCTGACCACTTGCGTATCCCTGGTAGCGTAAGACGCCAAAGAGTGTCACTATAATTATACCAAATAATCCAAACTTTCCATTACTGCTCCTCCGATCGACTTCGTCCATCCACTTTCCGATATTCCGCTGACCATACATAACTAAAGGCTCGAAGCCACAGGAAGCCCAAAGGAAGAATTTACGTTGTGTCGACTATAGTGATCGGGTGGAGTGATCAACTTGTTATATAAGGGCTCTAGATAGAGCACGCACAAAAAGAACTCTCAAAAATGCTAAATGTAACAAAAGTTTATTTCTGGACACTATTAGGAACCAAAACCGTTCAGGGATCCCGTGAAGACACAAATAGTTAGTCGGGAAACGGCCTGTCGTAGTTAAAATTTTCATTTAGGTTTGTTAACTATTAGAACAAAAATGGAAAAGTAAAAAAAGACAAAGCTTTCTGCTTCGAAATCTTTAACAATAACAAAAGGAACTTACAATACTTTCGGTTTTGAAATATGCAATAATGGCTGTTGGGCTGTTGGGTTTTACGACTTTTATATTCCAGAAACCTTACATCATCGTCAATATCACGACTGATATCGACAATCCGGTGTAACTTATTAAATTACGGAATAGTGAATATAGTTATGGCCTTGAAAACGAAAGTTTTGCATGGACTCTGGGTGGCGCCGGGTTAACTATCGATATGGGAGAAAATTAT